TGCCAGCTGACTAGGGTGCTAGGCAACCACACACACCGATCCCTGTCTGGTAAATACGATGGCTTCCATATACTGACACTAATCTGTATGCAATCAGCAGCCACAGGATACAAAGTCATAGAGATTACCAGCAAGCATACGCCGAGCATTCAGACACTGGAAGTATGAGACATCACTCTCTAGCACAGTGGCGCCCACATGAACGCAGGGAGTCGGCCGACTTACATTCCAGTGCGTCCTAGAGGCCCCGGCGTCCTGTCCTGTGGTGCTCGTGTGGCCAACGTTGCACATGGGGAGAGGTGTCCCGCCCCTTTCCATCTGTAGCGTCTGACACATTCAGCCGGCAGCCACACAAGCACCGTGGGAGCATAGCCGTTGCCAGCTCCTTTTGCGCCCGAGGCTAGAAAAAACGTGCCCCCCCAACAAGCGTGTGATGTCATCCAGCGCCCCGCCTCCAGGATTTTTGTTTTGTTTTTACTATTTTTTATTTAATTTTAATATTTTTTTTTACTCTTGGGGGGCTTCGGGGAAATTTTAGGGGTTAGGGTTAAACAGCCTCCTGATATTTCCCTTTTAAAATAGAAAAAAGAAATTGAGGACGCAAAGTCCTCACACAGAATCCTCAATCTCTTTTTCTGCAGCCTCGGTTCTAAATGAATGGAGAGTACAGAGGCTCCTCCCCATTCCTTCAGAAAATATTTAACCATCATCCAGTTTCTGAATGGGGAGGAGCCTCTGTACAGAGTGGTTCTCCCCATTGAGAAACTCATGCATGAACAGGAAGTGATGTTCATTCATAACTGGGGACACATAGTACTATGTGTCCCCAGTTATTTACAAACACCGGAGGGATCAGCCGATCGCTCCAGTGTTTGTCCTACACCGAGGATCGGAACATATCATTGATATGTACCCGATCCTCTGCCGCTCGGCCACGCACACGGGGGGCTCAGCTTCTCCTCTGGGTCCCCCCTGCCCTCCCGGGCAGAGGCAACGTGCGATTTGAGAAGAAGTGAATAAAGCACTTCAGCGGGGGGAGGGGTTGGGGGCAGAGCCGCTGTCACAGAACTAAGACCAAGCAGTGAGGGGAGAGATAGGCGCCGGCTGTCAGAACCTGGCCGAGCGTCTCTCTCTCTCTTCTCACCGCTTCGGCCTTAGATCTGTGACAGCGGCTCCCTCCTCTGTCCCCCCCCCCTCCCCAGCTGTTCCTTCACTTCTTCTCGGTTACCTGCTGCATACAGATGGGGAGAGCAGCGGGGATCCAGAGAAGCCCCAACGGCGGGAGGAGAGGACATCGCGATCTACCAATGATCGCTACGCTAACGACTTGTAGATCGCGATCGACCTTATGGGCACCCCTGCTCTAGCAGAATGAGATCTCGCTTTAGTACACACAAGAACACATTTTAGTTTTCATTTCCCTAAGTGGGCAGATTATAGAAATATAACCCCCCAGGCACCATATTTAAAGGGATTTTTCATTTTTATTGTTTCACTTTAAGCAATGTTACAATCACTGCTCCAGTACCCGGACCCCCATACATGTCCCCCAGGGCAGTACCCGGATCCCCATACATGTCCCCCAGGGCAGTACCCGGATCCCCATACATGTCCCCCAGGGCAGTACCCGGATCCCCATACATGTCCCCCAGGGCAGTACCCGGATCCCCATACATGTCCCCCAGGGCAGTACCCGGATCCCCATACATGTCCCCCAGGGCAGTACCCGGATCCCCATACATGTCCCCCAGGGCAGTACCCGGATCCCCATACATGTCCCCCAGGGCAGTACCCGGATCCCCATACATGTCCCCCAGGGCAGTACCCGGATCCCCATACATGTCCCCCAGGGCAGTACCCGGATCCCCATACATGTCCCCCAGGGCAGTACCCGGATCCCCATACATGTCCCCCAGGGCAGTACCCGGATCCCCATACATGTCCCCCAGGGCAGTACCCGGATCCCCATACATGTCCCCCAGGGCAGTACCCGGATCCCCATACATGTCCCCCAGGGCAGTACCCGGATCCCCATACATGTCCCCCAGGGCAGTACCCGGATCCCCATACATGTCCCCCAGGGCAGTACCCGGATCCCCATACATGTCCCCCAGGGCAGTACCCGGATCCCCATACATGTCCCCCAGGGCAGTACCCGGATCCCCATACATGTCCCCCAGGGCAGTACCCGGATCCCCATACATGTCCCCCAGGGCAGTACCCGGATCCCCATACATGTCCCCCAGGGCAGTACCCGGATCCCCATACATGTCCCCCAGGGCAGTACCCGGATCCCCATACATGTCCCCCAGGGCAGTACCCGGATCCCCATACATGTCCCCCAGGGCAGTACCCGGATCCCCATACATGTCCCCCAGGGCAGTACCCGGATCCCCATACATGTCCCCCAGGGCAGTACCCGGATCCCCATACATGTCCCCCAGGGCAGTACCCGGATCCCCATACATGTCCCCCAGGGCAGTACCCGGATCCCCATACATGTCCCCCAGGGCAGTACCCGGACCCCCATACATGTCCCCCAGGGCAGTACCCAGACCCCCATACATGTCCCCCAGGGCAGTACACGGACCCCCATACACCTTTTATGGCCAATAACTTGTATATAAGCCTCCAAAATGGGGACATTTGCTTTTACGAGTTCTGGTCCCATAGACTTTCATTGAGTTTGAACTTTTTCCATGTTGTAGGGTTAGGGTTAAGTTTAACAGAATTCGGGGGTTTTCGGCTCATCACTATCTCTAAACTGAGAAAATGAGTGTTGGTTCCAATACAGCGCTGAGTCTCAGTTTTTAAAGTCACACTTAGGGTTAGGGTTAGTTTGTGAGGAATCATTGAGTCCGCACAGCCCAACTGATCCCATCATAAGACCCCGCACAACCCACCTTAGAGTCCGCACAGCCCACCTGAGACCCTGCACAGGCCACCTGAGACCATTCACAGCCCACCTGAGACCCCACCCAGCCTCCTGACGCCCCACACAGCACACCTAAGAGACTACACAGCCCTCCTGAGAACATGCACAACCCTCCTGAGAACCTCCACAGCCCTCCTGAGAGCCCACACAGACCTCCTGAGGCCCCGCATGGCCTATCTGAGAGCCTGCATAGCCCTCCCGAGACCCCGCACAGCTCTCCTTAGAGCCCGAACAGCCCACCTGGGACCCTGTACAGCCCACCAGGGACTCCACACAGCCCAACTTAGAGCCCGCATAGCCCACCTGAGACACAGCACAGCCCAACTGAGACCCAGCACAGCCCTCCTGAGAGCCAGCATAGCCCACCTGAGACCCTGAAGACATCAGGCTGCCACTCTGGAACAACAGAGTATGTAGCTTCATATTATTCCGCATTGCTGTATAAATATATTGTAAAGCGTTGCTGTAACGGCAACCGCCGTCTGACCTCAGCAGGGGATCGGGGGTTGCGGGATTCCGCCGCTTCTCGGACCCGGCCTCCTGCGTCCCACGGTGTAGCGCAAGCATCCGCTTCCGGGTTCGGGGGCCGGATGCGTTCCACCGTGGAACGCGGAAGTGCGCGGCTCCGATCGGCGGCTCCTCCCCCAGCGTCTTAGCCCTATAAAAACGGCCCAGTGAGACAGTATGGTGTTCGACTATTGAGGACTGAACGCCTGCTGTCTCCTGGGACCCCTCGGCTGTCTGAACCTTTGCTGCCAGCTAGCACATCTTGGATACAGATACCACAGGACCCCCAGCTCCACGCCTCTCCAAATAACCGCAAGTAGTTGTGCATGCTGCACCTCCACCATACAATACAGGCTGCATATCCTATTGCCAATACCATCTCCTGCCTACAGTTACTATACTTGGGAACACAGCATTGACTCTTGAATTGCATACCGGAGTACTGTGACATCCTTACTCAATTTCTGCTTACTTTGATATTACTGTGAGGGATCAGGTTTATGAAGCAATAACCCTCATCAAACCTTATTTTATATTATTTCTGGGCTGTGATGTTAGAACCCTAACTCCCCGTCAAATTTGGGAGTGAAACCAGGGATTCGTGCCTGAGAAGCCTTCGCAGTTGCGATCCACAACCCCAATCCAAAAGACAGGCGTTACAGTTGCACAAATCCTGTATAATAATAATCATAATGTATTGCTGGGATTTGTAGTCCTCTATAGCTAGTGGTATTCTGCATTGCTGTATAATGTATTGCTGGGATTTGTAGTCCTCTATACCTGGTGCCATTCTGTACAGCGTCATAGGTTGACCGGTGGCTGAGCCGCACAGCATTGCTAAGATGCTGGTAGCCCCAAAGGGTCATTGTTTGTGATGGTGTGCTGGGCTGCATCATAGAAACCATTGATGTTGTGAGGCCTAGCCACTAGTGTCCTAGCAATCAGTGACACTCTGCAGGTCACACAACATCATTAATGGCTAATAAAAAGCTGACCCACAGCGTTATTGGTTGTTATGCAGCTCTTGCCTATGTCCTAGCAGCTCTTGCCTGTGTCCTAGCAATTATTACCAGCTCAGATTGGGTTTGGTGAACGTCCAAGCAAACAAAACCCAGAGACGTTTGATCATCACTACCACCTAACCCAAGCCACAGAGCTGCACCACAAGCAACACTCTTCTCATCAACAACCAACATTAACATATCCAATGTTCATCTCATCAGCAACCGATTCTATTCACAAACTATTCTACACACTACCAACATTCCACCTATCAACAACCAGCACTCAACAGCAAACAACACTCATACATAGAATAATAAAACCTGGACATTGGAGGTCAAAATGGTCCCGAAGTATATCTGCTTGGGTGGAGAACGGGGCCTTGTGCAGACTGAAGAAGTCATACCATATAGTTTCTGTATGTTCACTTTAATGTTCCAACCATATTATCCGGCTAATAAGAAACCATTTTAGGAGCTTTTTTTCTACATCAGAAGCATATCTGGTCTTAGAATATTTCTCCTGAGTCTACCTGACTGATGTCTCTTTCTTGTAGGGCTTGCTCTGCAGATCCAGTGCTACCAATGTGAAGAATTCCAGCAAGATGACTGCTCATCACCAGAATTTATTGTCAACTGTACAGTCAATGTCCAGAATACATGTCAGAAGGAAGTCATGGAGAAGAGTGATGGTGAGTATGACATGTAGCTATAGAAAAGGGCCAGCAGAGAGAACCATGCAATGATCCAGAAGCTCTGATTCAGCCAGAAATCGGCTCATTGTCATATTCTCCGCCTCTATATGATTCAGTATTTGTCGGTATTACATTTTGCAGCTTGTAGTTTGTAATATAAAATACTAGATGTTCATATTTTCTTACCCACGTCGTTCCTTTCATCTTCATGTCCCTCAGGGTTAGGCCAAACATGAAAATCTCCTTTTCTTATATCTGCCATGTTGGGTATATGTTGTTAGGGTGCCTGTGGCAGATATTGCTCCCCTTACACAGTCACACATGGTCTGTAGCTATGTATGATGTTCAGGTTACTGTTTCTGTGTGTGATATTTCATTACATATACATACATACATACATACATGTATACATACATACATACATACATACATGTATACATACATACATACATACATGTATACATATACAAAGAGCAGCCATATACACTGTAAGAAGGACACTCGATTGCAGTCAGGAAATGCAAGTAATACGCAGTTTATTAAGGGCAAACACAAAAAGTCTCTTTCCATCAACAGAGTAGACCTCCCCTGGTACACAAGACAGCTTCCAGCAGCAACATAAAGGACTGTTCACAAAAGATCCAACATTCTCAAACAATCCGCTTCTTCAGCATATACAGTCCTCAGTTTTGCTCAGTAGCTTTCTTCATCTCCAAGTCTCTTACAACACCTATGTGTGATACTCACACTGCTCTCCCTCGTGGGTCACTGACTCTCTCAGCAGTGTCCAACAGGTCCCTCAGGTCACCGACCTTCTCGACCTCTCCCAACCTCCCCCACATGTGCGTCCAACACGCACCCAAGTCTGTGGCCATGTGCCTCCTGCACACACACCTCCCCTGAGCTCTGACTGGCTTGTTAATGATTCTGTACAGTCTGCTGGGTTCTCCTGGACTGAGTGCGCTCCGGAACCTCGCTCAGCCCACCTCTCCTGCTCAGAAGCTCAGCCTTCTGGGAATCGTAGTCTAACCAGTTTCTCACAGCACAGCTTGTCCCTAGCTCTGCACTGCAAATCCCACACGTCTCTCTTTAGCACAGGCTGCACAACGGCAATTAACTATTTATAAGCAGACATATATCTGATTCTGTAGCAACTCATATAGGGGGCTACCCTTTCTCTCCCCCCCCCCACCCCCCCGGACCTTTGGGTCCCGCCAAAGGTTAATTTGTAATAGCAAATTGGTAAAGACACACACGGGTGAATACACATTGCCCTTGGAACATCCACCAAGACATTTTTTAACCAAGTACAGATACACCTAATTTGTGATATTGATTGATAAAAGGAATCTCCACCAAGGTGTTTTGATGGCCTGTGTTGGACATGAGTTTGTTTTTACTTCTGCAGACAAAATATTCACCTTGGGTGATCTTCGTACTGTAGTTATAGGCTCTTCGGTACTATGACCAGGTGTATCATAAGTAAGTCCCTGAGGTGGTCGCTGTGACGGACCACATGGCACCCCGACTGGGTGCCTCCATCACTATGTAGCTTCCTCTCTTCTGGAACCCGAATTCCAGTGTACTCAACCCAAACCTGCCTAAACATTGGACGGAACCAATATATTAGGACAGAAGACTAAACTCCCAAAACAATAAGATTTACCCCAAACATCAGACAACGCCAATGTTGAAGTAAAAACAAGAAGTAACTTTATTGTAAACCAGCTCAGTATTTATACAGTTCCGTAAGGCTAAAAACATAATACAATCAAACATTAACAGAATGCATGCAGACCTAACCCCCCCCCCCGGTACCTTAATGAAAGAATAGGGAGTGAGGAGACACATATGATGGGATTATCTCCTGAGTGTCTATCATATATTAATGAACTCCGCTACATCTAGTGTCAGAGTTAATCCCATTGTTAACCCAATCACACAAATGGACAAATAGACTAACAAGTTCAATGAGAGTCTAAGTCCAGAATGAACCCCCTGCAGTGCTGCTGGATTCACACCCTGTACCGATAATGGGCACGGGGTGACTTAGACGTAATGCCGGGGGAAATATGTAACATATCCACTCCACACATAAATCTGCGATAATAGTTCCAAGTAACCCCAAGCGGTCCTGTAAGGTACCTGTGGGAACGGTAGAGTCCGAAGTGGAGTGAGGCTGAGGATAAGGCTAGGCGGTGTCAGGCAAGCGAAGTCAGCAACAGACGGGCAGTGAAGTACAAAATCAGCAGGCAGAAGAGTAGTCAGGAAATAGGCTGAGGTCTCAGTAATATTCAGAGCTCAATCCAGCAGCAGTACACACAGGAACAAACCCAAATAAACCGGCTCAGAGCACAGGGAGTGCTTAGTATTTAAAGTGACATTAAACCCTCAGATTGTGTAACATAAACCAATACTCTAATGTGCGCCTTACTGTAATCCATGGTTGTTTCCCTTCTCTTTGCTGCTCTTCCTTTTAAATCCTCATGTCTTCTCATGCTTGGGGAGAACTTCCCTTTGCAGCTGAGTGCCTCTTCCTGTAGTGCTTGCTCATGTTACAAGCCTATACAAACGTATACACAGACACTGTGTATCCATTCCTGAGACAAGGCAGTCTGCTGCAAAACAGAAGTTCTGCCCCAGCAAGAGAAGAGATGAGGATTTAAAAGGAAGAGCAGCAAAGAGAAAGGAAACTACCATGGATTACAGGAAGGCGCACATTACAGTATTGTTTTATACTGTAAAGACTTATATCTTAAAGACTGAGATGATTGTGGAGTGACTGCAGCTGGCAAGCAGGAGAGTCCAGAGAAAAGCTGCTGAATAGAAATCTGCAGTGCAAAGGTGAGTCCTCCTTGTGGCTGAAAGGCAATGTTACATATAGTTACATAGTATTTGAGGTTGAATAAAGTCCATCAAGTCCAACCTATTAGGAGAATGCCACAGCACTTCCACCCCAGAGACCCATGTTCAAATCCCCACAGCCACAAAACAGGCTCTGGGCAGACAAGCACCTGACAGGTCCGAGGGGTTCTCCATAGTCCTAGGTTTATAGTCAGTAGGAAGGAGGCAAGCCTTCAGGCTCCTCCAACAGCCCCGGTGATGGTTCAGTCATTTAGACCTTGACTCTAAAAACCATGAAGGACCTTTATCAGAATCATCATCTGCTAGGTGAGAAGTGAGCTGAGTGGGCTTTCTTCTGATTCAGGTAAGTTAGGCAAAGGATCTTCTATTTCAGAGGATACACGGTCATCCTCCTCAGGGGTATCTTGAAAAACCTGAAGTATACATTCAGGAGCCTCTGGCCTCAAAGAACTTGAACTTGGTTCAGGAGCAGTGGTGGTTTTAGTGGTGCTCATGGATTCAGTTGGTCACATCCAACTCAGACACATATCTTCCTCATCACTGTCATCCTCACTTCCTCTCTCAGTCGGTAGTTTCTGAGACCTGGTGACTGGAAGTATGTGGAATAGGTGAAGAAGTTTCATCTTTGGTGGGCATGCGAACAGCTTTGTTTTCAAAGTTACTGGTAACAAGTGATTCCGATGCCAGAGGTCCATCTCTCCCCTCTAGTCAAATCTGATACACTGGGAGGCCAGGTAATTGTCTACAGACAACATAAACTTGTGAGTTCCATCTGTCATCTAGTTTGTGTCTAGCAGCAGGCCCCAGATTTCCCTTTTGTACTCTGTCTCCTGGATGTAGATTTTGTACTCGTACTCTCCGGTCACAATGCCTCTTGTTTCGCTGTTCTCTGCCTTCTGCTATAAAACAAGCGTTCGCATACGCAGACACTAGATTTCTTCGGAGCCGCTCCACATAACCTCTGTGAGTATCAACAGATGTTTGATCAGCCGATAGACCGAATGCTAGGTCCACAGGCAGCCGAGCTTCCCTCCCAAACATGAGACCATAGGGTGAATACCCCGTTGCATCATTTTTAGTGCTGTTGTAGGCATGGACAATGGCAGAGAGATGTCTACTCCAATGCTGCTTTTCTTCAGTAGATAATGTCCCCAGCATATCAAGAAGGGTACAATTAAATCTCTCTGGCTGAGCATCACCTTGAGCGTGATAGGGACCCAGATAGCAAGGATAACTTGCTACAAACTTGTGTCGGGGTGAAATTGTAATTTTGTTAACTTGCTGCACATATTCCCGGCAAGTTGTAGACTTGCGGAACACTCGCAGCACAATTTCTAGTTGACACTTTTTTAATTTGTAGCAAATTTGCTTGGCAAGTCTACAGCAAGAGTCCTGCAGGTCTTAGCAAGAGCTCTGCAAGCTCGCTGGTCTGGAGACTTGCAATGCAGACTTGATGTAATTGTGCAACAAAATTGTGAAGCTCGGCAAGTCATAGTTTAGCAAGTCATTTTCAAACTTGCAGCTCAATTGCTTGCTATCTGGGGAGTGGTTCTGGTTTTCGTGATTCCCAATAGGTTTAGTAGTTTGATGAGTCTGCTTTCAAAGTCCCGGCCTTGGTCTGAATGGATTCTTTGAGGCAACCCACAATGGATGAAGAATTTTTCTACTAACACTTTGGCTATGGTGGAGGCCCATTGATCTTTGGTTGGTTAGGCCTGGGTCAGTCACCACTAAGATGTTTCCCTGTCTGCTCGTGTCAGGCTCCAGACATAGGAAGTCAATGCACACCAGATCCGTGGGTCCTTGTCTATGAAGTTGACTCTTTGGAGCAGTTATGGAGGGTAAGGTCTTGTTCTGAATACAATGCAAACAGAAGTGACAGTAGCTCTCTATCTCAGTTCTCATATAAGGCCAGAAGAATTGGTCCCGGGCCAATGTAAAAGTTCTATCAGATCCCCAGTGAACATGCTGGTCATGTTTGGCTCTCAGTACATTTCTTCTATGTTTCTCAGTGAGGAGCAGTTGTAAGCGTTCTTTCACCCCATCCAAAGGGCCCCTTCAGTAGACCCCCCTTCTCGGAGTTTCACTACTCGGTCCAGGTTAGATGCACTTTCTCAGTGGGTGGCCTTGGA